AAAGCAGTCATGGGAAAGACTCCCACATGACAAGGAACTGGAGGGGGTCCCTGGGAACTGTGGGTGACCACTGAAGGTTGAAGGTGTCCTCCAAAGTCTGTGCGTTGATGTCATCCCCCAATGCAGCAGTGTTAAAAGGAAGGGGCTAATGAGAGGTGATAGGTCACAGGGGCTCCATTTCAGCCAGCACCAGCTCTGAGCCAGACCCGAGTGATAATGGGCGTGTGCCTTAATCCACTCTCTGTTACACTAGCAATCACCAATGTAACACAGCAGTCGTTAACCAATACAACCATATTAAAGCAGAATGCACCCTGCTCACATGGAGTTGGTTTCAGGAATGCAGGGATGGCTGAGGACTTTATTTATTTACCTCACCTTCATCCCAGACCAGACATTAAGGAATCCCCTAATATGGCTCACTGGCCCAACTGTGCCAAGGAGAAGGAACATATGCTTCAATAAAAACAGAATGTTTCCAATAGAATTGGAATGAAGAAATGATACTCCATGACACAGTGTCAGTGTGTCCCCCCAAAAACCATGTGTCAGAAACTTTACCCTCAATACTACAGTGTATAGAGGTAGGAACCAGGGGCTGAGCATGGCGGCACATCTCTTTAATCCCAGCATGTGGGAGGCAGAGGCAGGTGAATCTCCTTGAGTTTGAGGCCAACCTGGTCTACATATTGGGTTCCAGGCCAGCCAGGGGTACAAAGTGAGACCCTAATATTAAACAAAAATGAGGTAGGAGATCCAATAAAAAGCCATGGGTGTTCAGCTCTTACAAATGAGTTGTCCTTTTTCCTAGGACGGGTTAGTGGGTCATTGGAAAAGTCAGTTTAGCTCTCTCTCCCTCTCCCCCCTCCCTCTCCCTCTCATCTTTCCTCCTTCTGCTATGGGATAGCCAGGCACAATGGCCCTCAAAGATGTACTCCCTTAATTGAGGACATCCCAGCCTTCAGATCATGAACCAAAAAACAGCCACTGTTTACAGATCACTCCGAGTTTGGTATTCTATTACAGAAGCAGAAAAGGGACTAAGACATTCCCTTCATAGCTCCATCCCTGCCTCCTCCAAAGTCTGCGTCTTTGCTAGCTTTGGAACAAGGTAAAGATGCCCACTGCATCCAATATTTAATGCTGAACCAGAGGGATTGATTTATTTCTTGTTTATGTGTCTGTATGCATATATGCCACATGCGTGCAGGTGCTCACAGATGTCAGATGAGGGCACTGGATCCCCTGGAACTAGAATTACAGGTGGTTGTGAGCCACCTACTGTGGCTGCTGGGAACTGAACTTGGGTCCTCTGGAAGAATGGAGGTGCTCTCAACCGCTGAGCCATCTCTCCAGCTCCAATTAGCTAACTTAATTGGATGAAAGTAATACATTCCTAAAAGTTAGTAAAAAAAAAAGTGATACTGTTGAGTTTGTAGATGACAGAATACCCAAGCTATCTACAAAACGATCACAAAACAAATAAATCGAATATGGTAGAAAAACACATGTGCGGGGATAATAACCACTTAGGAGACACAACGGAAGGAAGAGATATTTACAACGACGACAAGCCGGGTCAAGTTCTCCTGAGTAAAGAAATGTGAAAACCTTGTACAAGGGCAGCTTCACCTGTGGAAGTGACCTTGAAACAGAAAAGCATCTGTGATTCCTATGGCTGCACAAAGACGTCCGTTCCAGAAGCTGAGATAGAAATTCAGCTGAGAAGAAAATGAAGTTGGTGAAGTGTTTACCTCCCAAGCACAAGGACTCAACTGTGATCCTTGGAAATCACGTTGTTTTTGTTTTTTTTAAAACCAAGGTTGATGGCTTGTGCTTTTAATCCCAGTACTAGGGAGGCAGGGACAGGGCAGATCCTTGGGGCTCTATGGCCAGATGGCCCAGCTTAGCTGGCAAGCTCCAGGCCTGTCTCAAGAACAAGAAGATGGAGGGTTTCTGAGGAATAACACCTGAGGCTGTCCTTTGGCTTCCACACTCCCCCACACACCTGCACCTGCACACAGGAACATGTACACATGTGTGAACACACAAATATGATCCAAATCCAAACATCATCAACACGATGGAATAGCTAGAAAACCTTTGGAATAAAAAGTGACAGCAATTAGCCCAGAAGACACAGAAACATAGTGAGGGGGGACTTTTGTTCAACTGCTCTCCCTGCACCATGCTCCTGTGTACAATTTTTCTTCCCTTTAAATGAAGATAAATAAAACAAATACTTTAGTTAGTTAATTAAAATAAAACAGGCTCGCAGATGCCTGTAACTCTACCTTCCAGGGATCCAACACCCTCTTTTGGCCTCCATAGACGCACATCCACAAACAGACACATGCACACAACACACACATATAAAACAAATCTTTTAAAAAAGACTGAAAGGGAAAAAGGGAAATCAAAAGCCTGGAATAAAAAATCAAAGGTCCACCCACAGAACACAAATTGAAGAAACTAGGGGACAGCCACACAGTGGAGTGGGGTGTAGTAGTAAAAAACACCTGGGAAGGTCTCTACAGACTGGCGAGAGCTGACTTTTAGAAGGAATTTTTATCAGAATACAAAGGGGATGTAACATATGCTAATATAATGTATAAATGGCTTATTTGGTAAAAAAGAAAGATAGATAATCTAGGGACTGTTTAAAATGGTTACCTCTGATGAGGAACAAGGACAAAGACACTATACCTCTAAATAACTTATAAATATAGCATTTGTATACCTTTGAGCCATAAAAATATTGTACAGTTTCAAAAATAAAATTGTATCATGAAGACCAAGGATGCGCACAAACAGGCTGAACGCAACCAGAAACTCACAAAACCAACTCCATATCAGACTGAAAACAATGCTCAGAGCTCCGGGTGCACACCCAAGGGCATCTGAAACTTAGTAGTAGTTTGGGGTTGGTAGTGCTTTACACATTTAATTCTGAAACAAGCTCTCTCTGTGTGTGTGTTCTAGGATTTAGCAAGTGATCAAATATAGTGATGATTTGGGAATCAGGTTCCCACTGTGAGAAATGAGACAGAAAATTAATTTCTAATTTGTTTTAAAGACGCTTTGGTTGGGGCCACCTGACAACGTCTAGACTCAGTGACCCCAGGGTGGCCATGGGCACACCTAACCTAGACGGTGGCTTCTAGGCCCCTCAATTCCCACTTAAAGGAGCAAAGTGCTCTTTGGGAAACGGCCGACTCTAGGTTTGGTCTAAGTGCAAATGTGAGTGCTGCACCAGAACTCTAAGACACCTAAGGACAAATGAGAAGGTCCCAGAGGCACCCAGCATCTCATTGGACCTCTGCAACCCCGCCCACAGTCGTGCGCCCCCTACTGGACAGGAGTGGGGCAGCACTTGAACGAAAAACAAAACGAGGTTCCCTTTCCACCTGAGCTCCTCAACTCACTAAGAGACTCCTGCCCTCTTCCCGGCTCTGGTTTTCCCAGGACAACGGCCTTTGAGTGGCTGCTATACCACCAGGGGTGGATTGCACAACCCGAGCCTCTCACACATCTCAACACCTCTGATCCCCCAGTCCAGTCTGCGTTCTCTCTGCCTGGCTACTCCAGCCCTGCTTTCTTTCTACACCCCTGTACACCTCTTCAACCACCATTAAGCGTTTCCTTCACTATTCAAACTCCAACCATCGGGAGGCTGCCCACTGCACCCAGAACATCCAAGCCCTCCTTCCTCTCTCTGACTTACCTGGTCCCAAGCCCTTCCCATCCCTCGCCTGTACTTGCCCGAGGGATGTTGCACCTGTTCAGCCCACGGGCTGACTTCTTCAAGGGCTCCACTCTTCATTGACAGCACAGGGGTCTCTAGCCAGGGACAGACACCTTCTCTGGCCAGGCCCAGGCTCTACCTCCCTACCGTCTCTCTCCAGCCCATCACCCCGTGTTACTGTCTTCCTAGAAACGATCTTCTGAGCCGGCCTCAGGCTTTCCCTTGGTAGCTAACTATGCTGTGGTATGTCCCTCTCACACCAGCGTGGGGGCAGGGCTCAGGGCAGGAGCTGGCAGCACACAGTAGGTGTCAGTGAGCATAACATCCTCAAGGCACCCGGCAAAGTGGCTGAAGTACTGGAGTAGGAGCCTAGGACCTCACATCTGTCACTTCACGGCCCGAGACAAAATACATGAGTCTGTTTTCTCGACTCTGAAGTGGAACCAAGGCTCTGTCCATCAGGTGGGTCTTCCCAGGACCCTTCTTGGACTCTCTTACCTGTCCTACAGCCGCAAGAGGCAGTCAGTTGGGGTACAGGGGACCTCACCACCTCACCACCTAACCTGCTGGGTAGACAGCAGGGTTGCAAGCACCCACTTCTCTCCAGGGCTTCTCTGTCTCCATCCTTGAGCCTGCCCCCGGCCATGGCCTGAGGGACACACCCGGAGCCCCAGCAGATGCCACTACCCTGCAGCCCCTCCAATGGGCACACTGATCCTCTGATTCCCACAAGGCCAAGGACCTTCGCATCCTTCACACGCACATCGCAGGTCAACCTTGCTGTGCCCGTTTCATAGCTAGGGAAACTGAGGCCCATGTGGGTGGAGATTCTGGGCCCAGGCTGGCATTTTCTGCCACTAGCAGGTGCAGGGAGGTGGCCTCCCATCAGTGGCTGGGGGGGCGTGCCCTTCGCTGGGCCCCGGACCTCCAGCTGATGCTGGGCATCTCCACCCCAGGACCTCACGCCCGTCCCGCGCCCTCAGGAGGTGGGGGGCCTCCCGCGTCGCTCGGCCCCCTCGCCGTCCACCTCCCCGCCACGCGCGCCGCGGCTCCGGCCACGCGCGCGCACTGTCACCCGCGCACACCTTGCCCCGGGTCAGCCCTGCGCGTGCCCGCCCGCCCGCCCGCCCTCCTGCCCGCGGCCCGCTCCTCCGTCCCCGCCCACGCCGCCGCCTCGCCCCACGCGCGGACCTCGCCGCGCCCCGCACGCCCTTGTCCGTAGCGCAGGTGTCCCGCGCCACCGCGCGTCACTCACCGGCTCCCGGCGCTCCGGCAGCCCGGGCCCGGCCCATCGGCAGCGCCCGCCGCGCCCGCCGCAGCCGCCGCACCGTGAACCGGGCGCTGCCCGCCCGCCCGCAGCCCGCCGCGATCCCGCGCGCTGCCCGCCCGTGCGCCTGGCGGCCTGGCCGGAGCCGTGCGGAGCCCCCTCGCGGCCGCACGGGGAAGCGCGGGTGGAGCCGCCCGAGTCCGCGCTGCGCAGCGCTTGCCCGCTGCCCTCCCAGTCGGCTGGCATGCCGCCTTGCCCATCAAGCCTCTCTTCTGCTCCCAGCTCTCCGGATCCTGGCCAAATGTCCAGGCCGGTGCTTGGGATCCTCCAGTGTGGTTCGCCTCCCGCGGGCTAAAACTTGCCCCTATGGTGCCCTCCCAAGCCTGCTCCCTGAGGTCTCTGAACTCAAACTACCCCCCTGGACAGACCTCTTCGCTTGACCAGCTTCTGGTATCCTGAAATCCAGGTCGCACTTGCCCCAAGACTGAGTCCTGGCCTCTCCTACAATGGCCACTGAACTTTGGGTGGTCTGTGTCCTCGAGTCCTATTGGCACAGGGTGGGTATCAAAGGGGTGGTGAAGACTGCAGTCACCTTTCTCCTTACAGTGAGGGACATCGCAGAGAATCAGCCATGTTTCACGGCTCTGGAGGGTCTGGTGTGTTAGAAAGATAAGGGGTGGGGAGGGGGGGGTGTCACAATTTCAAGTGAAGAGAAGGAGCCTACGCGGGACCTAGTTAGTGACTTTCTGTCCTGGCTCCATCCAGGTGTGTCTCACTGTAGAGGTCAGGGCATCTGTCTTCTGCTTCAGTAGGTCCTGCCTAATGAACTGTGGCAGAAACCCAACCCAATTCACTCAAGCAAAGAGTTTATTGGCTAGTAAAACATAATGAAAAAGATCAAACTATGTTGATTTCTGGAGTAGTTAAATTATGGACTTTGGATCTTTTGTGGGGAGAGTGCCAAGGTGGAAGGGAGCAGGGCTGAAGTAGCCTCCTAATCGGGTGAAGAGCTGGACCTTGTCCTTGGATGTGGCCCTAGGGACAAGTTTAGGCCCAGCTCTGCCTAAAGCACTCCAGCGAGAGATAATGGTGTGTCCCCAGCTGCACTGGCCTTGGCTCCTAAGAAGCCCCCTTGCCTTGGTTTTCCAGATGGCATCTCCCATTCACAGGGCCTGGACCACAAAAGCTTGTCCCCTCCCATAGGGTCGTCACTGAGAGGGGACAGAGGGAGAAGCAGGAGCCACTGAGGCAGGGGCATGCCGAGGACAGCTGAGGAGTACAGACCCTAAACAGGTTCAGGGAACAGGGCAGGTCCAAGGAAGGGATGTTTCCAAGAGAAAAGCCACAGGACTTGCTGATCCAGGGCAGGAGAACATGAATCGGGGCTTCCATGTTGGTGGGGAGTGTGGGGGGTAAGTTTCCCAGGGGTGGGTGTTGGGTAGGTGGTGGTTGTGAGGTTTGTCAAGGAGCCCTTTCCTAACAGGGGATGAGACTGTGTGACCAACGAAGATCTTGAGGGATTCCTAGAGGTGGCTGAACTAGTGGGTGCAGTCTGGGGTTGGGTGCTAGGGGGTAAAAGGAGACCCCTGGGTTTCAGGGTCTGCAGACACCCTGTGTGGTCTCAGCAGCATGTCTCTCTCAGCCTTGGCACAGATGCCTCAGGTGACTCAGGAAAGAGGCTGACAACCCACAAGGTGGCCAAGCAGGATCACAAGAACAGACAGGACAGAACTTTGGGCTCCAGCCAAGGCGTTTTTATTAGCAGAGCCCATAAACTGTCCATTCTCAGGTCTCTGTGAAAGCCCTCCCAAGTTACTACAAGGGCAGAGCACTAGGAGAAAGTCACCTACAGTCAGCCACAAGGAGGGGTGTGTGTGTGTGTGTGTGTGTGTGTGTGTGTGTGTGTGTGTGTATCACAGTCTCATTGTATACAGACCAGGATCCTACCTTTCCACAGAGCCTGGGTGAAAATTGGTGAGGGGGAGGAAGAGAGAATGCCAGTATGTGTATATATGAGCAATATGAGCATGCACATGGTTAAGTGTATGCAGTATATGGTTCATGGTGGTGTTCTATACATGCATGCAAAATAAATGTGTGTGATATGTATGCAGTATGTGGTGCATTTGCATGTACATGATATACGTGGCCAGTGGTGGCATGTGTGGCATTGGGTGCATGTGTGTGTGAAATACATGTGGAATAAGTGTGGGTCTGGGTGTAGGTGTAGCGGGTTCCCAGCACCATGATGAGGCTGGTCCCGAAATAAAGGATGATATCACAGATAGGACTCCTGGTAATGGAACCGGAGATAAGACTGAAGGTTGCTGAGGTGGTAGGAGATTCCAGGGAGCCAGGGCTGGAGCAGGGAAGGAGAGGCAGCTCACAAAGGATACATTGTGAGGACGTTGACCATTCCAGCCAGCTAAAGCCTGTCTTCCTGGAGACTCTGTGGTGACTGTGCTGAATGCACGTGGTGCGGATTACAGAGGGGATAACGCCTGCCTGCTACAAAATACCTATGGAACACAGACTCTTGTGGGTCCTACATTAAGCCCAGAGGTCACCTCCCTCCTCTACCACACAAAGCCACAGGCAGCACCTTTTCCAGTTTGCACAAAAGCCTGAGGTTGACCTGCAGGGTCAGAGCAGTTTCTCTGTCCCTGTTGGGCCATGGCTATGTGCACATCTTTGGTTATAAGTAGAAACAGAAGCAGAGTCCTATGGCCTCTGAGTCCCAGACACTGGCCCCCGTCTTTCCCATGGCAGAAGTCCGGCCTCTTACTATGATGTGACTAGGAAATGTTCCCCACTGGGTCACACTCTCAGTCCCCAGCTGCTGGAGCTAGTTTGGAGGCTGTGGCATCTGAGGAGGTAGGACCCAGCAGAAGGACAATCTTTTGCAGGTTATTGTAGGGCCAGAGTCTGGTCCTCTCCCTCTGTCTGCTGTGAGGTAAAGTTCCTCATCACAGACTCCTGCCATGATGACACTCTGTCCAAGGACATGGGACAAAGTGACTCTGGCCTGAGCCTTTAGAAACCATGAACTGCGGGCGGTGGTGGCGCACGCCTTTAATCCCAGCACTCGGGAGGCAGAGTCAGGCGGATCTCTGTGAGTTCGAGGCCAGCCTGGTCTCCAAAGCGAGTTCCAGGAAAGGCGCAAAGCTACACAGAGAAACCCTGTCTCGAAAAACCAAAAAAAACAAACAAACAAAAAAAAAATTAACCTGTTGGGGCTGGAGAGATGGCTCAGAGGTTAAGAACACTGGCTGTTCTTCCAGAGGTCCTGAGTTCAATTCCCAGCACCCATATGGTGGCTCACAACCATCTGTAATGAGATCTGGCGCCCTCTTCTGGCCTGCAGTCATACATGCAGGCAGAACACTGTATACATAATAAATTTAAAAAAAAAAAAAAAAGAAACCATGAACTGAAAATGTGTCATCAATTCCCCATTGTTGTTGTCTGGTACTTGTTCATGACAACGAGAACATTGATGAAGAAAAGTGTTCCCTGTTGCTGAACCTGATGATGTGGTCTTTAGACCTTTGGAAGTGGCTGTGGGAGAAATTTGAAGACTTTGAAAAAGGAGGCTAGAGGAGTTCTAAAGCGTTGCTCGTCTTAACAGGCAATTTTCTTGGGCACTCGGGAGAGCAGAACTCCAGCAGGAATGCAGACAGTGAAGACTGAGGCTTCGGGCAGGCACAAGCACCGTGCTGGGAACTGGACCCGGGCTGCTCATGTTGCAGTCTGCCAAAGAACTTCTATATTTCTACATCCTGAGACTTTATGGGAGACAGAGTTTAAAGGTAGCAAAACTAATCTCTAATCTCTCTCTCTCTCTCTGTGTCTCTCTCTCTGTCTCTCTCTCTCTCCCTCTCCCTCTCCCTCCCTCTCTCCCTCCCTCCCTCCCTCCCTCCCTCTCTCCTCCCTTTCTTTTCCCTTTTTCTTTTGGAGATGCCAAGGACTAAACCCAAGGCCTTGTGTATGTTAAATAAGTACCCTGACACTGAAATGTATCCACAATCCTTTTTCCCCATTAAAATAAAATGCTTTTTTTGAGATAGGGTCTCAATAAGTTGCCCAGACTGGCCTTGAACTTGTTTGGTAGCCCAGGAGAATCTTAAAGTCACAATCCTCTTGCCTCAGCTTCCTGAGTAGCTGTGGAACCAGATCTGGCTTTCCAGAGGAAATGTGAACACAACACATGGGCAGACTGTGGTTTGGTTATTACCGGCTGCTTTTAGCCAGACTTATAATAAGAATCAGGAGTAAAAAGAGATTTGAAAATATGCAGCCTAGCTGGGCATGATGGGGCACACCTTTAATCCTAGTATTTGGGAGGCAGAGGCAGGCAGACCTCTGTGAGTTCGAGGCCGGCCTGTCTACAGAGTGAGTTCCAGGATAGCCAGGACTGTTATACTGAGAAAACTTGTCTCGAAAAACAAAACAAAACAAAACAAAAAAGATGAAAAATGTGAAGTGTAAAAAGGTGGAGTTTTTCTATCCCTACTGCCCGGTCCCAAATAAACACACAAAAGCTTATATTAATTACAAAATGCTCGGCCAATAGCTCAGGCTTATTATTAACTAGCTCTTGCTTTTAAATTAACTCATTTCTATTAATCTATAATTATTAATAATTATTATAATTTATAATCTATTAATCACGTGGCCCATGACTTTACCTGTTCTCTGGCATCTTGCTTCTTGGGTGGCTAGAGAGTCTCTCCAGACTCCACCCTTCTTCATCCCAGTCCTCAGTTTGATTGTCCTGCCGCCTACATTTATCCTGCCTTGCTATAGGCCCAACAGCTTTGTCATTAACCAATGAGAGTAATTCATACTCACAGCATACAGAAGGATCATCCCACAGCAGTGAAGTCTGGCCATGGAAAGAATGGTGTTTGAAGCTGAAGACAAGGAGAGTGTGGGTGTTAACGAGATTGGTGCCATTAAAAAAAAATCCAAGTGCTTGCACCTTGAAGGTTATGGCAGAGGCACAATCTACTCCCTCAAATGCTCCCATCTGTCTGTCTGTCCACCTGTCGTCTGTCTGTCTGCCATGAGGTGAACATGCTCCTGCCACTATAATGTTCTTCCAGGAGCACAGGACTAAGGAACCATGAAGTGAATCCTCAAAACTGTGATCCTAAATAAACAATTACTCCCAAGAAGTTGTTTGTCTGTCTGTTTCAGGTATTCTGTCATAGCACAGGGAGTGTGACCAATACCATGGCTCTGCACAAAGTTCAATGTTCTTATGCTTGTGTTCAAAACTAGCCTTGAGCCATGCACTGATCAACAGCAAGACTTGTGCCAGGAATTTCAAGTTATAAATTTCCTTTGCTCATAATGACATTAAAAGGCCCATCAAAATATCAGGACAGGAAGGGAGGAGATTGGAGAGAGAAGAGGAAGAAGCGGGGGGAGGGGGTTCATGTTTTGGTAATTTTGTGTATGCTGTGTGAGGCTGGAGCATTGTGGTTAAATTCTCCCAAATGCATTTGCTGAATTCTGAGGCTGTGGGGTGGCTGTGGGGAGGGCTGTGGGGAGGGCTGTGGGGAGGGCTGTGGGGAGGGCTGTGGGGTAGGTTGTAAGGAGCCTCTCTGCTCAGGGATTGAGAGCCGGAGTTAAATCCTCATTTCCCAGGGCTTAGGAGACCAGAACCCTGAGGAGGGGACACGAAAATGCAGCAGGTAACCCTGAACTGGCCCTGAAAAGCCACTCTTGCCTCACCTGGTGGGAACCCTTACCACTTTCAAGCCAGGCATAGCCTGGGAGTCAGAAAAACCACCAGAGACTACAATTGTTGCAGAGGTGAAGTAGCCAAGTTGGAGACTACGGACACAGGGTTCCCAAAACACTTGTAAAGACTAGATCAAGAAGGCTAAGGTGTTTTCTCTTATGGCAAGGAGCTGGAGACCTCCATCGCAAGAGTCCACGGGCCTGAAGTTGGCCAACGCTTCAGAAGGAAGCAGGCGCTATCCAGAAGCCCTCCTCACTGACACCTTTGTCTCAGCCTCACGTGACCTACAGCAAGCACATTACCCAAGCCAACTTGAGGGTCTTGGACCCAGAACTGTGAGCTGATAAATCACAGTTGCTCTGAACATTTGCGGCCATTTGTTATGGCAGCAACGGAAAACTAATACAGTAAAGCGGCATCTCACCCGCCTCCCCCGCCTCAGCAGTCCTGCTCCCATGGGAGAAGCATGCCCCAAGACACATGCAGAAATGCTTAGCACAGCACTATTTGCCACCGCCTCAACCTGGAAATGATCCAAATGACTATCAGCAAAAAGGATAAGTCAATTATGCTGTCGGATGTGGCAGCAATAGGCAAGGAGTTACAACCGTTCAGTAACGTGGAGAGAATCAGAAACTGCACCCGCCATATTACACAGTAACTCAGCACGGGGAACTGTTGGTTAGGGATGGGAGAACGGTGACCTTGGGGGTCTGTGACCGCAGAGGGGAAAGGGGGGAGCCTGGGGGAGTGTGAAGTTTCACGTGGAGATCTGGGTGGTCCTGTCCGTACAGGTGGGCTCAGCTTGGAAAACTTCACTGAGCTATCCACTTGAAGTCTGTCCAATTTCTTATATATGTGTTACATTTCAGAGAAAAGGCTATTTTTTTTTTATAGAAAGCATACCTGTTCACAGCAGGCATTTGACATGTAGTTTGTAATCTGTTGATATCAGGTATATTGCTGTCACAGGTTGATCTAAATACAATTCATGTACTGGATTGAACCAGTATACTTGTGTATGCTGGTTCAAATGCTCTACCAACTGAGCTACACCTCCTCCACCCAAGTCTTTGACTTAGAAAGGGATCTTTGTAGAGTGCATGGTGGGACACACTGTAATCCTAGCACTTGGGGGCTGAGGCAGGAGGCTCATTAGTTCCATGCCAGCCTGGGCTACATAAGGCTGCCTCAAAATAAATAAATAAATAAATAGATAGATAGATAGATAGATAGATAGATAGATAGATAGATAGATAGATATAGATAAATAAATAGATAGATAAATAGATAAATAAATAAATAAATAAATAAATAAATGAATAAATAAATAAATACAAAGCCATCTTCAGGGTCAGGTGTGACCTTCCTGTCATAGTTTTCCCACCCTAACCCACCCAACTGTGGCCAAGGACTGATGCTGTCGTTGACCATATCCACTAATGCTGGATTATTTGGTTGTCAGAGTCGGAGTGGTGGGTCTTGTGTATGGTTCTGTCTCTAGCCAAAGATCCCGAATAGAAGAATGCTCAGAGGACAGGTGATGAAAATAAGCGGCATGCAGTGAAGCTGGGGACTTTGGGAAACATCTCAGCAGAGCTGAGGAGTCATGGGTTGTTAAAGACTTGCAAACGGTCTGCTTTGACTTGGGTAGAGGCAGGTGTTTCCCTGGGGAGCAGTGTTCCTGGCCTCCATCCGGGCTGTTGTCTGTTTCTGGACTTGGAGCTCTGGCTGCCTGAAGGGGCTTCCTTCTGTCTTTTGCCTTTTCTTGTGTCTCAAGTTTATACACATATATGTATTATGCATGTATGCACAAGTGGGAGGATATGATGAGGCTGTAATGACAGCCTTATCTCATCACCAAGTTTTGTCCTCTTCCAGGAAGGCTTATGAGATTTCAGCATCATGTTAAAGAGGAGGTGCAGAGTGTCCGTCCCTTCCTCTGGCCCCATGTGTGGAGTGACAGTTGTAACCCCTTCTGCTCGTCCCTAACAAGCTCTGCCATCCCCAGGAGGGAGTTCAATTTTTCTAACACTTAAAAAAAAAAGCCTATGTATCCGAACAGCTCTATGTATCCGAACATCCTTGTACTCTGGAAGAAGGCATACGGTCCTGAGTTAGTTCACAGCCTTCGAGAAGGCCATAGAATTTTCTCGACTTCACCCAACTTTGGAATCCAGGCAAAACTAGTCTGAAACTGGGTTGGGAAAGCTTCAAGAATCTTAAGTGAAATAGGGTTTATCTGTTTCTTGAAGTTAGTAAAAACAAAACAAAACAAACAAACAAAAAAAACCCTCACTGCCAGATTAGTTTAACTTGGAGAATAGTTGGGAGCAGGTGGCCCTTGACTATATTTCATCTTCTTTGATGGTCACTGGTCCATCTGAGTTTTCTGGAAACCATCTAAATACACAGTCTACGAGCAGGGGGCGGCTGTCTGCCATCAGCTCGAGACTTCAGCTCTTCACGTCCTTGCTTGGGGAATGCTTGCTCTCCCTGTCTGCAATTTGCAGATGAAGATAGCAGGACCATTCTCATGAAAGTACTGAAATGAGATAGTTAACACACGTGGTGTGCCCTGCTCTTGTTTCTTGGGCCACTTCCATAATTGTACATTTATAAGAAAATGTCTTTGTACAGATGATCACAATTGCCGGAAGATTCTAAACATCCTTTCTCTCCAGCTGCTTCCAGACCCCACTTCGCAACCTTGCACTCTAGATTTATCTTATTCTGTGGCTTTGATATTTTTTCTCATTCTTACTTTCTAATGTCTTTGTGTGTGTGTTCATGTGTGTGTGGGTGCACGTGTGTGCAGGTGTGTTTGTGTATGTGGAGGCCAGAGAACGATCTCAAATGTCATTCCTCCTTTTTTTTTTTATTTTTGGAGACGGGAGCTCACTGTCAGGCCGGGCTGCCTGGTGCTTCCCTCTCCCCAGCACCAGGCTAACAAGCGGCTGCCACCACACCAGGCCTTTCGTATGTGGGTTCAGAGGATCGGACCCTTCATGCTTTTACCAGGCAAGCCCTTTCCCGACTGAGCTGTTCCCACACAGCCCAGCTTGCCCTGTCTTCTAGTTTCTTGACCCCTGTGTCCATCTTTATTGTTCTTTTTGCTTGAGTTTTCTCCGCTCATCAGAGTTAATTTCTGGAGTTAAAGGCTGAACACATTTTCTGGTCTCTGTGGTAAATGTTTGTCAGCCCATGCTGGTTTCTATGAAATGTAGCATTTGGGCTATGCATTTTTCAGGGATTTTGTATTTTCCCTCATAATTTCCTCTTCTATCTAAAGTGTGAAACCTTATCAGATTTATTTTCGATTCGGGTAACACTGTTATACCAAAAAATCTTATGCCAACTTTGGAATTTATTGATACTTCCTCTGTGGACTGGTAGTTGGTTTTCCTTTAATTTCCATGGCATGATCAAAAAGAATATGCCCGGTGGGTACAAATATCCTCTATGAGTCCAGCTAAATACTGATACTTCCAACTTCAAGATTTTTCTTCAGCTTTGACCTGTCTGACCTATCAGTGTATGCAGATTTCCAACAGACTTGATGTTTTTCCTGTGATAATGTCAATCATCTATATACCCACAGCTACCATTGTCTAGAATATATATAACGGTGGATGCTTTTGTATCTCATATTTTGATACATTTGTATTTGCTCAGGATCCTTACACATGCTGATCAACTTGCTTAAGCCATAATCCCTGGTGATAGTAGCATTTATTTATGATTACATTTCTTTTTTTAATATTTCCTTTTTTTTATTTTTCTCTTTTCCTGTCTGAATTTCCTTCTTTTGGCTCGTGTTACAAATTTAAATTTTCTGTTAACTTTATCAGGTTTTTTTGTGTGTGTGTATGAATGTTTTACTCGCACATATGTCTGTGTATCATGTGTATGCCTGGTGCCTGCTGAGATCAGAAGAAGGTGTCTGTCCCTTGGAACTGGAATTACAGACAGCTGAGCTGAAATGTGGGTGCTAGGAACCAAACTTAGGTCCTCTAGAAGAACAAGTGTTCTTAACTGCTGAGCCGTCTCTCTTTCCAGCCCTTTAAAATGTCAGGTCTCCAGTTCTGTGACCCTCAATTTTAAGCAGGTGTTAGCATACTCTCACATCCCCTCTGGGCTCTCTGTTTCACCCCACTGCTATCACTAAAGCATGTATCCTTCTGTGGCTTTACCCATGAAGTCCTGGGGCCACGACAATGTTCAAAGGTTCCGGAACAATCCCTTAGAGTCCTCATAAAGTTTCAGGGTTCTTCAGAGATGTCCCTACAGCTAATGTGGACATGTTTAGCTACATGAATGCTGGTCACTGTCAATACCGCATATATATC